GTGGGCAATGAGGAGAAAGTATCATTGCATGTGTTTTGTGAGTCTGAAAAGGAATTTATAGATCGGTATCGGACATATGGTCTAATAACAGACATGGACATGAGCTGGACCGGGCTGGGATGTTGGTCAGCATACAATTGCTCTTGTATGTAAAGCTCTTTCTTGTGCACACATGCGTGTCTATGAACTTGTTCCTCTAGTCTACCCAGACGAATACATGCGGTGAATGCCTTGGGTGAGCCGCGTGCTCTAAGTGGGACGGAGGAGTTCCCTCCCATCAGGAGCCCTGGCTGAGCAGCGGTGAAAGATCTCTGCTGCTAACCAGAGTCAGAGGTTCAAACCCACCGTCTGTCTGTACAGCCTCAGAACCCCAATGAGCTGTTCTGGTCTGCCCTCCAGGGTCAGCAGAAGTTGGAACTGGCTCAACGGAAGAGGGCCCCGCAGAGCCCTGAAGATGCTTTGATGGCGCGGAGGGCTGGGCCTTGGGACCCCTCCAAGCTGTCGGGCTTTGGCCGATAACAGTTGACAGAGGAAATGGGGTCTCAGAGAGACGAACCGATGTGTACCGAGTGGCCTTCCTCCAGGAAGCACAGCCTGCTGGAGAAAGTGGGTTCTTCCCACTCCAGGTGTTCAGGCAGCTTACCTGAGGACACCATCAGGGAGGGGACCCTGGGAGTCTGCTCCCAGACCAAGCCAGGAGCATGCTCCCCTGAGGTTGTGGCAGAGCTGGGGGGTTGAGCAGGGGCGTGGGCACCAGGCTACAGGCTGGGCCTCACCCGGCTCCCATCTGCTCTCCGCACAGCTGGCTCGCTACACCAAGGAGGGATTCCTGCACCTGGGCGCCCTGGGGACCACCACACTGCTGCCTGACACACGCTGCCTGGTGGACAATGGCAAGAGCCGGCTGCCCCAGCTGCTGGACTGCGACAAGGTCAAGAGCAGCCTGTACAAACGCTGGAATTTTATCCAGGTGAGTGCCCCGTGGGCAGGGCTGACACCTGGGCAGGTGAGGATGCTGCTGTGGGCTTTAGGGTGTGGAACACTGGCTGCCCCAAAGGGCCCTCGGTTAAGTGCAACCCAGAACCCCTTCTCCTAGCCCACTGCCCGGCACTGTGTGTGTGGTCATTGGGGAAATTCTGCGGGGGATTGACTGCAGCGCTCCCCCCCGGGGCTAAGACAAGAAAGGGTCTTTATTGAATTGATCCCAATGCAGGGAGACCTGTGTCTGTCAGCGTAGAACTGAGCTCGTTGGAGGTTTTCCCTCTAAGTGGCAGGCCGTTCTTCCGAGGAACACCTGGGCAGATTCGAAATGCCAGCCTTTAGGTTAGCAGCCAAGCACCCCCACCCCCGCAATGGCTGGGGTGGAAGTCCCGAGCTGAGTGGCACACACGGCAAAGTGTCTTGAGGAAAAGCCCTGGCATTGGCTTCTGAATGTTCCCAGCCATGGGAACCCCATGGAGCAAGGTTCTGCCTGGCACCCATTTGGAGGGGGTGGTGAAGGTGAGGGAGGGTGTGCTCAGTCTTGAACGGTGCATGGGGTCATTGACTCAGAGTGACCCGTTGCACAGCAGGTCGAAGCACTGCCCGTGCGTCCGTCCCGCACAAGTGTTCTCACCTTTGAGCCTGCTTTGTACAACCACCATGTCAGCCCCTCTAGGAGAGGGGTCTTCCTCTTTTTATCCAAGTCTTCTCCAAGCAACAGGACCTTCCTCTGGGGCTAGCCTCTCCTGACACCATGGCCAACGGATGTGAGATAGAATCTGTCTTGGAAGAGTTGCAACCAGCATGCTCCTGAGAGGCAAGGCTGCGAGACTCGTGTTCTTTGGACATGTTGTCCGGAGAGACCAGTCCCTGGGGAAGGACAAAGAGGAAGACCCTCAACCAGATGCATGGACGCCGTGGCTGCATGGATGGGCTCAAACCAAAGAACGATTGTGAGGATGGAGCAGGACCGGCCGGGGTTCATTCTCTGTGCGTGAGGTCGCTACGTGTTGGAACCAGCCCCACGTCACCTCACAGCAGCATCCATAGCCGTCCACTCTGCCTGATAGCAAGGCCATTCGTGTCCCTGGCCAGGGTCAGGGGAGTCTCTGGAAGCTTCATCCACATGGGGACACTGCAAATGGTTTGTTTTGTGTTTTTTAACTTAAGAGAACCCACGGTGGGTGCCCAAGATCCCCTGGTCCCTGGCATGAAATGTCAGTGAGATCGGGTTTCAGTAAGAGTCCCTGAGCCAGGAAAGAGGTGAGTGAGTCCGTCTGTCCATCTCTCTATCCCATTTCCTCCTCTCTTCCCAGAACGGTGCCATCATGAACAAGGGCACGGGGCGCTGCCTAGAGGTGGAGACGCGAGGCCCGGCAGGCGTGGATCTCACCCTACGCAGCTGCACCGGGCAGAGGTGGGCCATCAAGAACACCATCAAGTAGCAGCCGGCAGCGGGCACGCCGGGAGCCTGGCCCCCAGGACGGACCCGTCCATCCCTGGGCCTACCACCTGGGTGCAGAGACATCAAGGGGCCAGCGGGTGCTTGTCCAGGGTCTGGGGCTTCCCCAGACCTCCAAAGGGACAGTCTGTCCATCAGGCTCTCAGACACCCAGGAGAGTCCACACCCCGGGAAGGTGAACCGAAGCTGGTCACCCGCCGGCCTGAGGTGACCTGGTGCAAAATCGAAAAGCTGTCCACCTGTCCGCCTGGTCATCTTTCACCCCAGGGTCAGGGTCTGGGTCCCCTCCTCGATCCCACCTTTTGCAGCGACAGCAGCTTCTGATGTCCCTTGGTTCCAATCAAGGTGTCCAGGGAGACTTCGGCCACCTCCTCGCCACCCCACCCCCAACCCACCATGTCTCCTGAGATTCAATTTCCCGAGGTTGCTTCTGCCCGGATGCTTGTCCGTCCCCCAGAGAAAGCCGCCACTTGGAACCTTCTGTCCGGTGGCTTGGATGGTGACAGTCCCAGACTCTCTCCTCCCTGACAGAGCTGATGCACCCCTATGACTACCCAGCCACCTAGCTCCCGGGTGCCAGGCCCCGGTCCTGGCCTGTGGCTGATGGAACAGGAAGGTCTCAGCTTCAAGGGCAGTGAGGGGCCCAGCTGGGGCCAGAGGACCTGGAAGGTTGGACACGGAGCTGCCCCAGGGAGTGGGAACAACCTCCGGGACCTCAGGACCACAGCAGCCAGCCAGCCACAGGCCTGGGCTCTGTGTCAGCCCTCCCAGCTCCACGGCTCCTAGGTGGCCAGGAGAAAGCAGTCTTCCCCTTTCTTAAGAGTAATAAGCTTTCTTTTCTTGCCCTCTGGTTAGGGTGCCCTTGTAAATCAGAGTTAATATATGGGTGTGCGTGCGTGCAAATGCAGGTGTCTGGGCCGCGTGCGAGGCCTGGCGTGTGCAAGCCGGGGAGCGCATGCAGCTGAGTGCATGGAGGAGTACACGTGGCTGTGTCCCCTTGGACTGGCCGGGCCACCGCCCACCTGGGTGGGACGAGGACACCGAGCCTCTCTGGGCACTAGCCCAGGCAGGAGGGCCTGGCCTGGCCCCAAGCATAGCTTGCCACCGCCTCTCCCCTCCTGCGGGCCCCGGCCAGCCCTGCCCAGAACCAGACCCTGTAGCTGCCCAGTCTGCGGTTCACAGCACCGCGTTCAGTGGTCACCCTGCCCCCAGCCCCACCCGTGAAATAAACATGTTAGCATTTCCCACCGTGGTCTCATTTCTCAGGAAGGATTTGGTTTTGTCTTTTTGATGCAAAGGTACTCGGCCAAGCAGGCCCCA